AGCGCCCTCTATGAACCTTCCTCACTATCCTTCTCCTCTTCCTCCTTCTCCGGCAGCCTCGGGCTGCGGCCGCGGGATGCGGCCTCGGGGGCATGAGGGTGCTGCTGTCCCGTCCCGTCCCCAGCCGGCCAGGGCTCCCCGTGAACACCTTCATCGCTTCTGTGCTCACCTTCATCCCACTCTGCATATCCGTGCCCCCCTGCACTCACCTTCACCCCTGCACTTACCTTCGTCCCTGTGCTCACCTTCATCCCCTTCTGCACATCTTCATTGTCCTTTGCACACTCTAGTGCCCTGCTGCACATCGTCATCCTCTTCCTTATTCCCATCTCACATCTTCAACACCCTCCCAAGACTTTCATCCCTCTCCTTATCCTCACATATACTCAGTCCCCTGCATTCCACCAGAGTGCAGATTCCCCATCTCTCCCAGACACCCACCCCATGGTGCCCGGGATGGGGATCTCAGCCCACACTGTTGTAATGAGTTCCCAAGGGAACTGATCCAGGAGCCAAGCCATGGTCATTTCCTCCGAGCGAGCTGATGGATAGCAACGTGCTAAGCCACATCTGGCTGATGGCATATGAGTCCCTGGCCACGACCCAGCCCCACTGTCGGGAGCCACAGCCCCGTCAGGGGCAAAACGTCTGGTCCTGCCAGATTAAGATGTGCAGCACAGACCTGTGCCGTGGTACTCAGAACCCACAGAGAGGAATCCTCCCATTGCCTTGCTTGGAGATGGGATCCTCTTTGCATCCCATCCCTTCTAGAAACATATTTTTCTAATTTTTGTGATGAGCTTGGTTGTATTCAAGTATTTTGGGACAAGCCAACTCTTCAGCCCATGAAGTGACAGGCTCTGAAGCATCCAGCACATTCAGCAATTGTGTGTGATTCATAAAGCCATATCGCATTCTTCCACCCTTGGCCTGGTGTTAACTTGTAAGAAATCTGGACTAAAAACTGTAACAAAATGGCTGCTATTCTCCAAGGACTGTTCAGAGCCTCGTTACTCATCCCTTACTTGGGCAAAAATGACATTGAGTGCTCCTGGAGATGACAGCCTTAATTGAGTTCAATAGTAGTTTAGGCTGAGTAAGGCATGAGCAAACAAGTGTGCATTAGCCCATGAATAAAAGCCTGATCTGCAAATGTTTAGGAACACATGTAATGCTGTGCAGGGGAGTACCAAGGGGGTCGCTGCTGCTCTGGGCCTGCTGAGCAGGCAGGGGTCTCGCTTCAGCATCCAATGCAACTGCTAGCGGTGCTGGGATGAGCTTGTTCTGGAGTGCAATGATTCGAGCCCGGCTCAGTGGTTTGTTTCTGTTCTGCCTTTTAATTTTTTTTTCTCTGCTTCAGAAGTCCATAATCCTTGTTTCTGCTATTTTTTTGTCCACTGGTGGAAACAAGCAACTTCCTTTCCCAAATTATAATATAAAAGAGCTGCAAGCTGCAATGCCATAAATAATATTTTCTTATGGCCAGAACATCCAAGTCTAGGCAAGACACCAAGAACAGCTATAACATTGTAAAACTCCAACACTTCTCCAGAATGGATTCACTAATTAAAAAATGACTCCTTTTAAAAAGCAGTTGAAAAATATTAGCTTTCCCATTGCTGCCTGTTACTTGCTGCACTAAGAAGGAGCCTATCCTGCAAAGCCACAGCCCAGCTTACCTTGCCTTTCCCTCTAAAAAAAGTCACCAAGATAAATACAAGGGGAGAGAAAGGGAAGAGAAAAGAAAAACATCTCGTCACAATCACTTCTTTAATTAATTAATGTATCACCACTTCAAAGCTGGAGAGAGAGCCCCCAGGGCTGAGACACTGTTCTTTGCTAGGCAGCTTGCTGCGGACCAAACAGCTCCAGCCCTTCCACTGCTGGACGGGGAGTTTCCCAGTGCTGACCTCCCCTCCTGCACTCTCTGGGAACGCACCAACCCTTTCCCTTTTCAGCTGCCTGCCCTATGGGGCATTTGCCTTCTGGAGAATATCTGTCAGCCCCCCAAAGAGTGCAGGGGCTAAGCCTTTACTCAGGGCTGGGTGTATGGAGCCCACTGAGCCCCAGAGGTCTGGGGAAGAGGGAGTAGCAAGCGACTGGAGAAGAACCTCCCAGATCCATCTTCCTGATCAGCTCTAGACCAGCATATTTCCACTCATGAGCATGGGATGGGGATGCCAGCAACCACTACCTGAGAGAGGTGCTGGCACCACAGCAACACTGGTCCTGACAGGGACACGTGCTCAGCATCAAAGTAGAGCCTTATTTTTTTTCCTTCCCTTTGCCTTATAAGCATCTCTGCGAAAATAAAATGCATTTCCCAGGAGATTCCCTTGAGGAGCTGACGACAGTTGCCTCTGGCCATCCCTGTAGCACCAGCCTAACACCAGCACCCTAAAATGAAGCTTCAGAAGCCTCAAGGTCTCATGCAGGGAAAATATCATCCCTGGGGATTGAGAAAACCCTTTCTCCAAGGAAGACACACACTTTGGGCTCAAACACCATTGATAAGGCTCTTTCTTCTCTTTTTTTTCCCTCTTTTCTTGCAGCGAGCATTCCTTTCACACCCACGCACACCCCAGCATCCTCAGCCATTGGTCTTCTGGCGCATCCGTCACACTTTCCGCCGGCCAAAGTAGATACACATTTCAACTGCTTCCATCCCTCCTCTCCTCTAGTGTTAACAGCCAGCGCAAACAAAGGGCCCGAATATCCATCGCCCTCTTAAATTGTTTTCATTTGTTTCTTGTGCCGCAGTTGGTTTGCATTAGAGGGTTTGTCTAAGGGATTTGGGGTGGGCGACTGATGCAGTGACGGCTCTGAGATGGGGTGACATTGTGTTGGACACCCAAGGCAGATATTTTGCTCTGCTTAGGTTACAGGCCAGGAAACCTGAGGGGTTTGCAAGCAACAGCCGGCAAAACAGAGACTTCTTGGGTGAGGGGAGGAAGAATCACCCTGGGGAACGGCTGGGATAACAGCAGCTTGTGCTCCAGCCAGAACTTGGGGAGCCCAAACCCCTGTCTCTCATCCTGCTGCTTCTTTTCTGCTTCCTCTGGAGGAAACAGGGACAAGTGTTAGCTCAACCATCAGCTGAGCTTGTCCCAGTTTCAAACAGATGTTGAGTTCCTGGCTGGATTTGGGCAGAAAGCTCTTGCTTTCCCCACATTTGCTGGCTGTACCTCACGAGGGATGCTGCCCCTCATGAGGGGCACACCAACTGCTGTGGCTGGTTCTCCCTTTAGCTCACAAGACAGTCTCTGATCTCGCTGCATGGGTAATAGACAATGTCCCATGCCAGCCTGTTGTCCCCAAGCTGTCCACCTCCCTCTGCCCCTGCCATGAGCATCTGCTGATGAATGATGGAGTCTGGATTCATGCAGCTGGTGGGAAAATTTTCACTCTCATCTGCAAAGCTACCGGAGCAAGATGTTCGGCAGTGGTTCAGCTGCAGCTCCTGGTCCCACTGTCACTGTCATCTGTCCTCAGCTCCACGCAGAGACAGGTTCGGGCCATGTCAGTGTTGCAACACTGTCCAGGGAGGACGAGCATCCCTCTTGCACAATTACATCTGTCTCATCTGTCTACTACTCCTCAGCCCGACTGCTCCAGCTACCTCTCAGCATTAACTTGAGGGATTCAGATCACCTCCAGAATGGGGAAACAACCTATATGTGTCCTGGGAAAGGAAGCCCAAATTGTCCTGAGGTCAGTGCATTAGCTGAGCAGGTAAGAGAAACAGCTCAGAGAGTTGAGGACGGTGTTTCAGGGGACCTTGGCATATCTCTGTATTTCTTATCACTGAATTAATCAGATTTGGGACTGTCTTTGAAGCCAAATCCTCACTCCATAAAGGTGGGACTGTGCTGCAGTAGGAGCATGGGCTGATCTGTGCCCACTGAGCTAACCCCTCTCCAGCATCTCCCCTTCTCACTGTCTCCCTGCAGCTCCCCATGATACCCCCCCAGTCTGAGGCAGGGGGTGGCATCTTCTGGCCACCACCTCCCCATGAACAGGGAGCACCAGTGGGGCCAGTTGCAGCAGTGGGGACACCCAGGATGTGTGGGGTCTGGAGGGATGTTGCAGAGTGAAGAGGCAGTGAGTGGTAGAGGCACAGGGGGTTTGACAGGGCCTGTCTGGGTGCTGAGCATGACTCAGCACCACACCACACCTCATGAGTCACTCCATTGCTTCCTGGTGCACCCTCAGTTTTCTCTTCCAGGTCCCTCCTGGAGAACTGACCCAGCTGGGACCCCTGCCAGCAACACCAGCTCTGCCTCACGTGGCTGCTGGCCCTCCTCCACTGGCACCACCATCCCTCAGCACGTGCCCATAGGTTGTCAGTGCTCTGGGTGCCAGGCTACTTCTCAGGGACCCAAATCCCCAACAGTTTCTGGGCAGCGGGGTGAGACCCAGTAGGTGAAAAGACACCATGGGCACTGGCCATCCACTCACACCAGGACAAAATGGGGCAAAAGAAGGGCTTTGTGCCCAGTGGGCATCGAGCCAGGATGGGGGTCTCTAGCTGGGAGCTTGGACAGAGCCCATCTGCATGTGGGCTCCGTGCAGACTCCCAGAGGGATGAAAAAACACCGAGCAAGGAGACCACTCTCTCACTGGGGGACTGAGCATAAAAATACAAATCAGAATCTAAAAAAAAGGAATGAGTTTCCAGGATCTGAGTCCAAGAAACATCTCAAAGGGATGAGATAGGGCTCACAGTCAGCCTCATCTGCTAAATATACCTCAGGCCTGACTCTGCCATCACCCCAGACCAGTGATCTGTCCTGAATTTGCTCGGAGAGGGTGGCTGCGGCTGGATGAGCATCCCATGGTGCTTGGCAAGCATCATGCTCTGTGAACCACCCCAGGGGCAACTGTGACTGCAACCATGCACTGGACAGAAGGTGGAAACACAGGGAACGGACAGGGATGAAGGAGCATCCACCGGGCACTGGCAGGCGGTCCCAGTGGTCCCAGCAGGCCCAGTGCAGGCGCTACTCGCAGGCCAGCTTCCCGTCGAAGCTGGAGAGGGCGATGGCAAAGGCCTGCACGGCACAGAGAGGGTAGTTGTAGTCCATGGTGAAGGCGTCATCCGCCACACGCCCAAACTGCATCACGATGTAGTCGGCTGTGGGAAAGAGGGCGAGCAACTGGAATGTCACCTGTGCACCCATCCTGCCTTTTCCCAGGGCACCCATGCAGGAGCGTCTGAAAGAAGCTGCCCACCCACCAGCCCCGAGCTTTGCTTGTGACTCCCACACTGGCTGCACCATACTGCAGCACGTGTTATCAAAAAGCATCATTTTCTCATTGCACAGTCCAGCATAAGGACCATGGCACCCTCTAGTCCCTTCAGCACCCCCTCCCTGGGAGTCACAGTCCCCCAAGGGACAGGGACCACACTCCCGTCCCCTGACTGTGGGACTGCTGCTACTGGAGGGGGGGGGTGACAGGAAATCTGTAAAAATAACCAGGGGCCCTCAAGAGGTTTCTTTCTGTGTAGTAACCCAACACCCCGGAGGCTGAGAGCTTCTGACTGTACCAGACAGGTGACAAGTGGCCACATCCAGACAGAGCTGCTGCAACCCCTGACGGACTGTCCCCAAGGTACAGTGCAGCTTGGGCTGAGCCCACTGGCGATGTGTGGTGCATGCTGGAGCTAAAGCTCTGGGGTGTTCTGGGCTGAGTGGGTGACTGTAGTGTGATGGGGGGCTCAGCACCCCACAGGATCTATCCTTGCTCTAATCTCTGTGGCAACAGGAGCCCTGCACGCTGCCTCTGCCAGTGCTGGGGCCCGAGGGCAGCTTCTGCGCAATGCCAATCTCCCTGTCTGGCTTCATCCCAGCTCCAGCAAAGGCAGGCAGGACCCCAAAGCATGAAAAAACTAAACCTCGGCAAAATAAGGGGGTACTGGGGCCAGTTTATGAGGCAGTGTTTCCCCACCCCATCCCCCCATCCCATCCTGCCCCCTTCCCAGCTTACGGTCACTGCCATGAACAATCTGGAAATTTTTGACAGAGGCATGGGTGACCCGGCCATGGAAGTTGAGGACATAGGATTGGGTCTCGTCGTTCCACACTGGTGCCTTGTTGTGCAGCTCAATTACATTATCCATGTTTCTGTTCTGCCATCGCATCAGGAGGCCGTCATTATCCTGGGGAGGGGCAAGAGCAGGGAGAGCAAGTTTAGGGTGACTTCCCCCAGAGGCCTGCCACCCTCTGTGGTGTGCTGGGGGGGGATGCTCTGTAGCAGTACCCACATGGAAATGGGATATGTCACAGAGGAAAAAAGTACAGACACTGTGTCTCCCACCTCCCAGGTAAGTGCCTTGAATTTCAGCCTCTCCATGCTCCAAACTGGTGAAATCCAGGGTGATCCCCAGCAAACCCAGCCCCCAAGGAGTTTCGCCCAGCCTGGCCCCTGACTTACGTTTCGGGGACGGATGGGCACCCTCTCACCGTCAGCATTCATCCCAGGGATGATGACTGTCATCTTCCGGGGACCTTTGAAGCCTAAAACATTGGTCTCCTGCAGGAAAAAACACGTTTCTAAAACCATCAACCACCAGTGGCTGCAGCCACTCATGAGGGCTGAACAAGGACTCAGGGATGGCTCCAGCTCATCCCGCATCCCTGCAACTCCCCTGGGGCAGCACCCAGTGAAGGGGTGCATGTTGGGACCCCCTCGCTGCCTGCCCAGGAGGTCCAGGGGTGCTTCCCACGCTGCTGCTTACATAGACCACGGCCGAAAGCTCCTGCCGCACATTGGACCAGTCAGCATTGGCTCTGTCGGGGTTTGCACCATTGTCGAACACTGTGAACCTCGTACCCATCAGGTTGGATCTGCAGCCAAGGATGAGAGGTGGTCATGGCTGATGCCACTGAGTCCACCACAGCCCGCATGTGAACCCTCTCCAGGCACAGCCTTTGCTTTGGTCTAGTTGCAAACCCCTGATGCAGCCCCCAACCAGTGCCATCCTTCTCACTCTTTAGTCATTTGCTGTGGTTCAAGGCACCCTTAAATCAGGGTGTTACGGGGTGTTGCCACTACAGGGATCCCCCAGCACTGCTGTGTGGCTCTTGGTGATGCAGTGGGCTGGGACTTGCTGGGCACCTTTTCTAGCCATGACCTGTCTGCTGGGAGGAACCGGACAAGCCTGTTTTCCCCTCTCAGCCCCCTGCCACTCCTCAGGTCAGACCCAGCAGTGGGAAATGCTGAATTTAGCCTCCTGTCTGACCCAACCATTCCTTGGAGCAACCAGTAATCCACGGGTGGGAAGAGGGTGCTGCAGGAATGGGGTGCCACCTCTGCTCCTACCTCAGCTTCCCGATGAAGTTCTCTCCCCCCCGTGACAGGTCAGTGGGGTCGATGGAGATGAGGTAGTTGGAGGTTTTACTCTTCTTACGCTTCCTCCCAGCAAGGAGGAACACCTGGTAGAGTGGTTGGACCACGTGAGGATTGGACACTGTCACTGCCATCGACGCTGCTGTCTCTGGCTTACCCCCCAACAGGTCACTGCCATGACCTTGAGCAAGTCATGGGGTAAAGATGATCCCCAAAACACTGGCTATGCCATAGGGTGAGAGGGGCTGAGCCCAGCCCAGCATCAGCATGGCTCTCTAGCCGACACTAGCTCATCATCCCAGGTACCATCAACATAGGACATTTCCCAAGAGGAATTGCAGGAGAGGGAAGCAGCCCCATCCAGAACCCACCACCACAGTGGGGTACAGGCGAGCATCCCCCCAGAACCCTGGGAGTGCTCCCCAGGACGGACGCAGAGCCCCACGAGTCTCCATGCGCTCACCCTAACTAACCTTCTTGTCATTATCCAAATGAAGGTAATAAGTGGGGTAAAGCCCCCGGTCCATCCCCTTCTTGTCCCGTGTCACCCGGCACTTGATGGTCACCCCCTGCGGCGCTGGCTGCAGCACAAACTCCTCCAGGTTGTCCACCTCAATGACAGGAGATGGGGGCCTCTCCTCCTTCAGCTGCTTCATGAGAGGGGAAGGTGACCCCAAAGTCAAACCTGCTGAAAGCCCCCCTCCTTTCCCAGCTAATTGCTCCTTGCTTCCAATTCCCCCCTGGGCTGTGGCCCTGCAACTGATGGCTTTGGAGATGATGCTGCAGTGGGTCTTGCTGGGGGATGCTGCAGCCCCCCAACTTACCCTGGGTAGAAGAGCTGCTCTTCCCCCCCACACCCCGAGGGGACCCCCATGGCTCTGAGGGTTCCTTTGTACCTTCTTTGATTTCTTTGCTTTCCCCTTCTTGTTGGAGTTTTTCTGCAGGGTTTCCAGGATCTCCTCCTCACTCTCAGCCCCTTTGGGAGGAACTGCAGGTAGGAACAGGCAGGGGCACAGAAGGGGGAAGATCCTGACTCTGCTGAGCCCCAAAATCAAGCTTGGCATAGACACATGCCAACACCATTAATTGTAACCCCCATCCTTCACGACCAAGCTCACCTGCACTCCCAGAAGCCCCTCCAGCACATACCACCCTCCATCACTGGTGCTGGACTCTCACCTTTCTTTTTGGGTTTTTTCTCCTTGGGGGGGGTCCCCACCAGTCTGGAAGAGGGACACCGGGTTTTTCTTCTTCTCTGACCTGATGGGTTTGGTGCTGGAGTCAGAATCATCCTCCTCATCACTGCTGGTGGTGACTGTGAGGGACATGGGGGAAACAGTCATGCAACACCAGGTGCTGTTGGCTCGGGGTGATGCTGTGGGGCAGCAGGACTGGATACCTCCCCCTCCTGCTCACCCTATACCTTTCTTCTTGCTTTTCTTCTCCTTCTTCACCTGAAACACGGACATTTGCTCCTTCTTGGCGCTTTTGGCAGATTTGGCTTTGCTGTCAGAGTCACTCTTGTCTCCTGGTGAGACAGAGGAGCTGATGAGCTGCTGGAACAGGCAGTGATGGGGACAGGGAGGCAGCAGGGTGGAGGTAGCAGGAAGGGCTGGGCTGGGGGTAGATTGAATGGAGAGGGGGCGATTGCTCCGCAGCACCCTGAGCCTCCCGGGACAGTGATGGGAACAGGATGCAGGCAGGTCCCTCATCCCAGCAAGGACAGATGCAAATGATGACAGAGCCGGGCTTGGGCCATCCCTACCCCTGGACACTCACCCTTCGGCTTCAGCTTCTTCTCCCGGCTCTCTCCTGAGGGAGGGTCTTTAGGAAGCTTCTTTTTGAGTTTTTTTGGCGGGTCTTTATTCTCCACCACTTCTTCCTCTTCCTCATCCTCCTCGTCCTCAGCCAGCTCTGCCCAGAGGTGACACCACGGCATCAGCAACGCAATGTCCTCTTGCAGCGGGGACCCCCAGCCTCGTGGTTTGCGAGGACGGATCCTCTTGCGACAACACTGGCCGGAATGGACAGTCATCCTGTCCCAGCCGGGGTGCGGGGCTGTGGGTCCCGTCCCGTCCCATCCCGTCCGCTGTGTCCAGCGGCGCGTGGGACGTGGTGCGGTCCCAGCGCCCTCTCGCGGCTGCAGCCCCGGTGCAGAGGAGGGGGCCAAGCCCAATCTCTTCCTGCAGGAAGGTGGCTGCGGACCTGATGGCACTGGCTAGCCACCAACTGCCACAATCCCAGGGAGTGCGTCACCTCCCACCTCCCCCCGTCCCAACTCCCCAGCCGAGGCCATGAGTGCAGGTCCCCTGACACATTCCCATTCCTCCCAGGTCTGTAGCTGGGTTTTGGCCAAAAAGCTCTGCCAGGGATGTGCAGAGGCCCAGCAGACACCAGGAGCATCAATGGTCTGGTGGGACATGGTGCCTGGGGACATGAGGAGCCATGAGCGAGTGCCTGCAGAGAGGTGGGTGCTGTCCCCACACCTTGCTGCTTCTTGGGGCCCTTGGCCACATGGGAGTGAGGTGCTGGATTTTCCTTCTTCTTCCGAGGCTCCCTGGTGGATTTGGAATAGGCATCCTTGTCGCTGTCTTCCTCTCCCTTCTCCTCCTTTTTCTTCCTCAGCTTCTTCACCCCTGCACATTTCAAGAGATGCCCGTGATGGAGAGAATGGCAGGTGCAGGATGGGGCCACTGCAGATTGGGGGGGAGAAGGGGGGGGTGGGCAGTATGTCCCCCCATTTCTCTGGGAGCTGTGGTGATCTGTGCTCACCCTGTGCTGGGGCATGTGGCTCCTCGACAGCCCCCTCACCCAGCTTCTTCACCCGCAGCCGCCTTGGCTTGGCCTCAGGCTCTAGCCCAGGTTCCTGCCTCTTTTTCTTCAGCTTCTGCCCCCACGGATGGTGCTGCAGAGGTGGTGATGGCCTTAAACCCCTTTTCTCTTTGCAAGGCAACCCCTGCTCATACAGCACCAGCTCCCTTTCAGAAGTACAGCTGTGCTTTTCCCTGGCCCAGCATGGAAGCAAGGACCCACTGTGGGGTAGGGACACACACTTTCAAATGAGTGACTTACCATGGGGCAACCCCCCAGGGAAGGCAGAGGAACGAAAACAGAAAGGACTGTTAGCAGACAGACAGAAGAGCATCTACCCTGGGACAGGCAGCCATGTGCCAGCCCCAGAAACAAGGGGTTGACAAGTGATGCTGGCACTGCCCTGACACCATGGACTGTGTCGGCATAGAGGAACAAGCCACACTGTACCACAGGGACCCTGGCTGAGAGCCACTCTGGGTACCTGAGCTGGGACAGGGTACATGAGGAAGGGCAGACAGGTTTGCTCCTCACCTCCATCTCTCACTCCCGCAAAAGGAGCTGCAGGGCCTTGCTGGGATGGAGGTCAGCAGGAGCAAGGAAGCAGGAGGATTAGACACAGCATACCTAATCCCAGTTAGCTGGGGCTATAAATAACCCTGATTTACCAAATACGGAGCATGTGGGTCAGCACTTGGCTCTGGAAAGGAGGTATTTGGGGAGTGGGTATCAGTTCAAGGCCTTCAGAAGGCAATCTAAGCAAATCCAGATGTTCTAGAGCTTCCACTACCTAAGAGAACATCTTTCCCCTCATAGGGATTGTGTTCCTCCCAGACGCTCCAGGGTGGTGGGTGAAGGTGTTTTGCAAAAGGTGTGATCGAGACAGATCCCAGTGGGATCCCAGTACTGCAAATTTGGGGAGGGGGAGCTGGGAAGCACAGTGAAGCTGGAAACCAGCTGTTTTCTTCCATGTCAGCAGCTCACACTGAAAAGCTCTTTCACATCCCCTAATCCCTTAAGCAGCTGCAGGGAGGACAGCCATTTGTTACTTAATGAAGTCCTTTGAGGAGGGGGTGCTGATTAAATTGGGTGGTGGATGAAATTGCTGCCGAGACCCCTCCAAGGTTGGGTGGTACGTGAGGGCTGTGCCGAAATGCAAGAAGGGGGTCTGGCTTTCAGGGTCACAGCCTGAGGAAAGTGAGTCACAGCTGACAGCTTAACTGAGGGGCTTAATTAAAGTGTTAACTAGGAACTAGGAAACCGCCACATGGGGTACTTCAAAGTGATGGAAAGGGGGTTCAGAAGGATGCCCAAAGGAGAAGGGAGGGCTGTGGGATTTTCTCTACCCACCTGCTCTGAAGAGGGTTCCCAAAAACCTCATGCCCTCCTAGGCTGCAGCACCCCAATAGAGAGCCCATCCAGCCCCTAGTCGGCCTTGGTGTGGGGTTCCAGGGTTTCAGGGTCTCTGATGACTCCAGCCCTTGAGGACAGCCCACAGCAGGGAATGGTAGCACATGGGAGGGAGCGGAAGGTTTTTTTTCTCACCTGTTTGGGCTTCTGCTGCTGGGGGCTCCCTGGCTCCTCGCTAGGACTGTGGGGCACAGAAAACAAAGCAGTGAGGGCTTTCAGACCTCCACAGACCCTGGGGGGCATGAGACTGCCCCAATTTTTGGTGAAGGGGGAAAGGTCAGCCTTTCATGTGGCTCCAGAAGCATTTTCCCCTGTCTCGACTGGGTCGAGCTCGTCTGACATCATCCTTCCTAGCGGGGAGCACAGGACAGGCTCTGACTTGGCCAAGGGTGACAGCAAGGAGGTTAATTTGGGGATCCCCCTCTAACAAACGCTCTTCCTCTCTGTAAGTCAATGAGCATCATCACACCAACCCCTGAAGCAAAAAGACTCTGATAAAACTGCTCATTAAATTGCATTTAAATTGAAAATAGGAGAAAAAGACACTGGAGGAGATGGGAGTCTGGTGGGGACAGCCAGCACATCATCCACCCCACAGGTCACATTCTGCCCCGTGGTACTCACCTGTCCGCAGCCCAGACCTCGCGCAGGATCTCCGTCTGCAACGGCATCGCTTCCTCTGTCCTGCCCCGACTGCCTCCCCTCCTCCCTGGCACCAGTTGCTGACCTTCTGGTGCTGCAGCCCCTACCAACCCAGGACCAGATCCATGGGGTCAGTCACAGCTACAAATCTGAGTGCTCTTACAGCATTGGCTCAGCCACCTCCACAAGCCTTTGTGGTGGGGGGAGGAGGAGGAGGAGGAGGAGGAGGAGGAGGAGGAGAAGGAGGAGGAGGAGGAGGAGGAGGAGGAGTAAGAGCAGGTGAAGGAGATGATTAACTTTATTTCTCCTGAAACTCACTTAATAGGATTTCAGGGGCTGTCAGCCAGGCTTGCTGGGAGAGCAGCTGGCAGGGTAGTAATTACAGGAAAAGGGGGCTCTGCAGGAATCTAGGGGGTGCACAGCTCCTCCCTTGCTGGGTGGGGTCCCCACCACAGCAGAGCCACTCACTCCAGTCTGGTGTGGGCAGAGGAATGCTGTCTGACTGTATTTAGGGTTATCCTCCCTGGATATTCTTTTATTTTTTTTTCCACCCAAAAAGTCTTCTTGGTGAGAGAATAGCAGGATTTGGACTGGTTTGTGTGAGTTGTGCATGGAAAGCCCATGCAGGGGTAGGCAACATCCCTGGCTCCAGGCAGTGCTAAGGGTTTCCATATGGACCACCACTTTCCTTCGACCCCTGTTCATGTCCCCAGGTCTCTTTGGGTGATGGGATTCACGCCCTGCAGCTCACACCTCATCTCGTTATTACGCCACAATATTTTGTTCTTAATATTCCCTCTCAAAGGCCCCCGCAGATGCTGTTCCGTTGCAAAGCCGGACAAGCCAAGTGTCTCCACCGGACCCCTGGCCTTGCCCCGCCCACCACCGTCACCCCAAAACCCCCGCCACGCCGTGCCCGGTGCCACTAGATGGCATTTGAGCACCGCACACCGAGACCCACCAGCACTGCAAACTTCCGATGCCTCCGTACAATATCCTCCTGGTTTCCCTTTAATCTCTAAACCACATCACATCACCCACATAAATTTAATTTCTTTTCCAAGGGATAGAAAAACACCAAGCTAAAATACATCAAAAATCTCCTTTAAAACGGGAAGCAAGCCCGGACACCGCAAAGTGAGTTGGGTTTTTTTTGGTAGAGATTGTTTCCTATGGAAAATGTGGCTTGGGCTGCCCCCAAAGGACTTTTTTTGCCCTGCCTGCAAGAAAAAAAAAAAAAAGAAAAAAAATGTTTTGCAGAGACCCTGGGTCTCACAGCAGCTTCCCTGGGCAGTGCCCCCAGGGATGCTTTGCTGGCTCTAGGACATCCCAGGGTGGTGGAAAACCCAAGACCTGGATGAGCAGCTGGAGCAGCAGACCCCCAAAGAGCATCCCCTAGTCAGGACGTTTCAAAGCACAGCATTCTGGCCCTTCATTGGCTCTCCAGTAAATGACAGCACTGATAAAAAGGGGCAGCAGTATCAGACTTTGGAGACACCAATAATTTCTTAATTGCTGGGGCATCTCCACCTGGGGAGTACACACCTATCCTCCCCACAGCCACCTCCTCTGCTGAGTAGGATCCAGAGAAAAGTACTTCTTTTTTTTCTTTCAGTTGTTTATTTTCAAGCTCCCAAAGGCATATTACAAAGAGACAGGAAAAATAACAACTGGACAGCTGTTCTCACGCAGAAGTGACAGCATCCCTTTAGGATGGAGAGGGTTGATGGCTGAGGAGGCAGCAATACCGGTGCAAGGACACGATGCACTCGGGACCTCCTCACCCTGGGAAAGCAGCTCACTGACAAGCTACAAACCCATGGTACCACCTCAGACCCACTCACTTGCCTTCTGAACCACATGTCAACCTGTTCTTTATTTCCTCTAGGTATGGATCCCAAATAAGCAATAAAACTCCCATTTGAAGTCAGGAGCCAAGAGATGGGGTGCAGGCTGCAGGCTGAGTGCCTGCGAACCTGGATAGGCTTTTATTCCCTAAAGAAATAGAAACCAGCTTCTTCAGAAGATAAAATCTCTGTGTGTCCCCGTCCCCAAACAGTCCTTGACAAATTACATCCCGGCACTGAGGGGCTGCAGTGG